CCCTTCCGTCCCATTCTTGTGAACGCGGTATCTCAGGAAGGCGTTGAGGGAATTTCTTCAAACTTGGCACAAACATCCACCTGGACTCAATGATGAGCTGATTAGAATTTGGTGGTCAAAGATTAAGGTCACTGGGACATCACAAAACACCTTTCTGCCCATAACTCAAGACTTAATGACTTAAAGACACTTTTTACTCAAAGTTCAAAGGTCAGTGTGACCTCAAAATTACCTTGACAAACACGTTTCTGGTCATTTCTCAAGAATTTAAGCAGCGATTATGACAAAGATGTTTACTGGGAAACGAATGATGAAGTGATGACTATTTCTTTTCCAAAAGGTCAAAGTCAACTTCACTATGACGTCATAATGTCCTGGAAAAACACCTTTTTTTTAACCATTATTCAACATCCTAACTCAGGAACAGAACGGGAGATTGTGACCATATTTCACAGGTGGTCAGACAATGAATTGGGGACACTTTTGACTCAAAGGTCATTGTAACCTCAAAATATGTTTTTAGTCATAATTTAAGAATCTCATCCATTCCGCCGTTCACTTCCTGCCTCATTTTGAATTTTGAATGACACGACTGGCTTATAGAATCTGATGCATTGTTGTAGATTAACTACTTAATACTGTATTAAATGATACAAATTAGCTTTACCACTACTACTACTACTTGTGTAGTGTGATGTATTAATAATAATTTATAATAATATATTAGTATAACAACTACACGAGTAATTCTACTTTTGATGCTTTAATGATCCTATCTAGAGCCACTGTTTGGTTTGGAAATGTGAAACATGCGGTTGGTATTTATTCTGCCGTTGTGTTTACTTAGAAGTATTTTCTTCCTCTGCGTATACGAATGAGTGAATGACTCTGGTGGGTATTTCACTGTGACAAACAAATACTACAATGACAATAAAATGTCCCATGTTTCTTTCATTGTGTCGTCGCTCTGATAAATAAATAAAGCAATTTTAAACGTAAGAAGATGGACTTTTAGTGTGCACTAGTATTTATTCAGTTACTTTAAAACATCTGGTTTCTTTAGGAGTGGACTCAGAGGTGAATTCCAGGTAATCTGGAGCCAGGCACTAGCAGGGCACAGCAGGACACTGTGGGTGTTATTGTTATATGCTGCACACTGTTACATAAAACGCAGCCTTCAGCATATTGTGTAATATTTTCAGATAAGAGAAGAGAAAAGTATGCAAGGACAACAAGTAGCTACAGCGTGTTCATGCACGGTACAGACTGTGAATTTAATCATTTGGTGATGGTGTTTCGTTCTTAGTACGCCAGCAAAACGCATGACATTAGCAGAAAAGAAGAATCTGTCTCTAATGGTCAGATGTATGACGCCTGTTTTAGAAAGACTAACATTACCCAGTGTAACCCAAGCCATGTGCTGTATGTTCTTTATAAATGAATCAACTGTCTCCTTCTCTGCTGCTCTTGAGCGACCTGTTACGCAACTTGTCTCTGATCCTTGTAAACATGCAGTGGTATGCAAAAACAGGACCAAACGCTGCTGTCAAAAATAGTTCAGACCGACTTCTAAAAGACCCGCATCTACTTATTCATGGCCCTAAACGATTGTGTCTCTGAACGCCACTTCCTCCAGAGCTGAGTGCAGGGATCCAGCTCAGGTTTCCGAGGCTTTGGATCAGCTGCTGGTTTCACACTCTGTGACAGTGGACGAGGTCTCCAGAGAGGAGAGGTGAAAGGGTAATCTGATCCCACCTGCTGACACAAGCTCCCAGTAGCTGGGGATACAACTAATTCTGTTAGACAGACATAAATTGTGTCATTGACACAGCCAGTTTGAATAATTCATGACCTGACACAACTCCCAGTACTATCATTTTGCAGCAAACAGTCACTGGGTGGGGTCTGCTGGAAGCTGTACTTCCTTCTGCCTGACTTGGTTTCAGATCTTTTTTTGTTGTTATTGTTGTTGAGTTGATGAAACTGACAGGATCTTCTTTAAAGCTGAAAGATTTAGCTTTTCGTATTAGGTTTTATTATAGTGAAACAGCAACTAATCATGTTTGTGTGTTTAAACATGGGGTGCTAAGTAATTTATTTTCTTGTTACCATCAAGAATGTAGGCCACTTCAAAATCAGCATTTCAAAAATGTACTTAAGCTGTCACTGCATCATTCCCCTCTGTCGCTCTCTCTCACACACTCACACACTCACCCAGACGCACACACACCTTTGGAATCAGAGCCTCCACAGAGTAACTGATAATGGACCATTGTGTGCCATGTGGTCACAGGAGCCCGATGATTGAAAACCAAATTAACTTTCCTTCTGAGTGACTCTTGAGTAAGCTGAAGCTGTCGATGGCTAGCAGGTTCGTACCAGTTTCAAATTCTTGTCTGCTTCAATGAGCCGGAGTCACTCAGACATCTTTTAAAACGTGTGAGCTTTTGGACGCAGTGAAATTTACTGTTTGTTTATTTTTTTACAATTTCTAACTCACATTTCTCTAAACTGGAGTTTTTTTCCCCAAAACTCGTCACACAGTTCTCTTTACCGACAACAACAATTAATCTCACATCCAAATGCACTAATGCAAACAAAACACGTCATACTCAACTCTTATACCAACACTGACAAAAACTGTCTGCTAACAGTAACACTTTATCAATCATTACACAAATACCTAAAACTTTAATAACAGGTAGCATTACAATTAGTATAACTTTTGTCTTTGTAAAAGTTGTATTTATTTATTTATCATAAACCAAGATTCCATTGCAACAAAAATATGTATTGCATAGGTTGTGCTAGTATACTGTATATTACAGACATAAATAAGACATGTTGCAGTACATTTCAATAGGCTAATTCCATTAATGCAATACAAAACTACAAATTTTTGTTATACACTTGTATAGGACAGCTAAATATATAGAAATATAATATGAAATATATAGTCAACCTTGTCTTGTGCATTTGGCCACAACTTATTATGTCATCGCACCTATGTCCTCTCTTTTAATACAGTGTCTTTTTGCATGTATGATGCATCGGTGGCAATCTTCTACAGATATGTCCAGACATCCAGCATTCGCTGTGTCCAAGACTGACATCTGATCTTGTGGCTGGTGGTCATAAACTTTCCACCTTCATGAGGAAAATAATTCCTCTATGGGGTCGCGGAATGGAAAGAATAAGGTGAAAGGAAAATTGACACCATGGGCTGTAAACCTGGCCACCTTAGTCTTTCAGAAAGGTCATTAGGAATAAAAGTATAGGCACTCATTGTTGATTTGTGGTTTATGTGTTTTTATTTTATTTTTTTGTTTCTTTTTAGATATGTTTTGGATGTTGGGGGTGTTATGGTGGTGGTTGAGTTTTAGAGAAAAAACATTTAATTAAATTAAAGATGTGGTCACTGATTTCATTTTGTGTGAAAGCAATAAAAAGTGATCCACAGTTTAGTCCACATTGACTTCTGTTGTGCCGACTGTGAAGAGTTTTAAGACTCAGCATTGAGAAATTTGAGTATGCAATGTAATCTATGTCAAAGCTTGTGACAAATACACAAATACATGATCAAAAACAATTTTTTTTTCAGTTCACACTGTGTATTCTCATACTGATAACAGTCCGGGGAGGACACTGTGTTTGCATGTTTGTCAGAATACCTTTGAAACACCAGTATTGTTCAGTGGTACTATTGGATACAATAGTACAGCTATTAATCTAATTAAATTTGTTAGGATTAAACTGTCTAGATTCCGCTTGTCAGTGCACACTAGTTACAGATTACTTCTTGTACTTTAACAATATTAAAACTCAGACGTCTTGATCATCATGCATTTGCTTAATTTCTTAATTTCATGGAAAATCACTGTCTGTACCACTGTGTTAATGTTACATCAGATAAAACTACTCAAATATGGTTGAGTGTCCTACTTGCAATTCCAAACTGAAAGTGTTTTTCTAGGAGGCAAATTGAAATTTTCCAACTTTCCAGCATCACATGAGGGGAAATTTGTTTTGTCAAAATGTATTTGCTATACTACATATACCCTGACATAACATAAATACATACAAATACATTCATAGAAAGACACATTTAAGTACAGATAAACTGAAGATATACATGTTGTGTTTAGATCTGGTATGACAGAGGAGAAAAGACTCACTTTAAAGTCCTGTATCTGCATCTGGACGCAATGTATGGGTGTGTGAGAGGTTTGTGATGTGGAGATTTTGTGTAAAATGCAAGTGAATTTGTATTTATTGAAGACAGTTGAGATTGTAAAGAAACAATAATACAGGTTCGTAGAGCAGCAGCAGAAGGTGTGGACTGAGAAGTGTTTACTGGTATTGATTGATGATATCAGCTTTGTGTTGATCAGAGCAGTTTGTTGTCCACAGTGTGGGTTGGAGATACAACAACCTTGGTCATATGTCAGTGTGTGTGTGTGTGTGTGTGTGTGTGTGTGTGTGTGTGTGTGTGTGTGTGTGTGTGTGTGTGTGTGTGTGTGTGTGTGTGTGTGTGTGTGTGTGTGTGTCTTTACTGCCAGTCTGGAGCCATGTTGAGAAAAGTAATATCGTTTGACTTATAATCAAAGTTAATTCATTTATTTTATGATAGCGCTTCTCACCTACAACCACTGGTGCTCTTGGAAAGGAAATATTTTTTTAAAGGAAAGATAAAGATAAGTTTGTTATAAAATGATTATAAGTTCTAACTGTATAAATATAATATAAATAGAAACTATCAGTCTATCATCAAAATTCATGCATGAGTAACAAAACTTTGAGTTTGGTGTGCAGGAAGTTGACTAGTTTGTTTCTGCTTTTCACTTGAAAAGACATTGATTTCTTTATTGATTTGCATCTTTGAGAGATGAGTGTGTTTTCTGACATCTGACCCAAAGTTAATTCTTGGATACCTTTTTACTTCTTGCCCTGTGATGATATTGATCATGTGTGTGTTTGTTTTTGTGTTTCTTTACATGCAGGGAGCCTGATATTCCAGCTTGGGCTCCTTTACTCTACCAGCTCCAGCTGCTGGACATCAGAGAGAAACCAGACCCGTTAACTCTGCCTATCGCAGACCGTATCCGCATTGGCAACCAGAAACGAGAGCGAGGGAACTTTCATTTCCAGAGGGAGGAATATTGCCTGGCTGCCAGAGCCTATTGTATGGCTCTGGATATGCTAACCACACGCAGCAAAGGTACACCTGGCATCAAAACCTGAATTTATTCATAGAAAATATTTCCATACTGTCGTCTGTACCAGGAATGTGTTGCAGTAGTTGATATGAGCATTATCTTCTAGGAAAAAGGAGAAAATGGAAATAGAAAACAGATAAACATGTACACACACAAACATGTGTTAGAAACATAAAACACAGCATTTGACTGAGAACTCAGACCCAACATTTCCACATCAATCTCAGCCCAGAATGACATAACAGTTTAGTGCTCTCCTCCAGTCAGCCATCACGCTAATCACACCATCACCATGCAGAGCCACATCTATCTGCGCCGAGTGCCACGATAAATATTTTTGCTTGATTCTTTTGCATAATCAAAGCTAATCAACTTCATGTTATTTCCACCTTCTTAATCACTTCAATCATTGACGAGGCAGGGTGGGCCAGTGAGGGAAATGTGACTGAACAAGTCAGTGAAGAGAAAAACATGAACTGCTTCATAATATGTCAATGATGGTGGACCAGTGAGTGAACTCACTGTGGCACTGAAGAGAGGATATTCTCTCAGGGCATCGAAATCATGTAATTAGTGGATGAGAAGATGAGCAGGAAAAAAAGATATTAATAAAGCAGAGACACCAACATCTTTAACTCTTTTTGGGTCATTTTGGGCCCATTTGACTTATTTTACAAATGCAATTCATGACACGTGGAGATTATAAATCACTTTAATTGATTAACCAACTAAACATTCACTCACATAAATATTAGTGATAATAAAAGTGATTACACTCAATTTTCTGCAGAGTTTTAACAAGATTTTCACAGGTAATTGTTTTAATGAAAGTAAATAAATGAATGCGAGTAGGTTGTAGGTGAGTTGTTAGTTTAAGTGAATGTTCATGTGAATGTATTATTGATTTCATTCATCAAATATGGGATTTTCCAGAGAGAAAGGAAGAAAATAAGGACTAAATCTATATAATTGTGGAAATAACATTGCTGTTTAAGTGGAACTTAAATATTCAATATTTAGGTTTATCTTTGAACAAGTAGGTAGGTAAGTAAGTAAAAGTTATAAATGCATTAAAATAATAATATTAAATCAATAATGGCAAGAACCAATAAAAGATTCAAACTGTTATTCTGAAGACAAAAAATTGTGCTTAATAGCTAAATGACTAAATACATGTTTTGGCTCTTTGCTAATAAAACACAAAAGATAACAGATTCAGTAAGAGATTTGTAGACTTGGAGCTTAAAGTTACACAAACCAATATTTTTATCACATGACTTAAATGTGAAAGAACCCACAGATAATGATCACTCTGCAGTTCCCCCCAGCTCAACTTAGACTTAGCACAACCTCATTTCCAGCCTCAACAGCAGCTGTTTTTCAGCTGCACTACCTCCCCAGCACAAAACAGGGGACAAAATTAGCTATTAGCTGGTGAACTTAGTCAAGCATTTAGCAGCTAAAGAGCCAGATATTTCCCTTAGGGCTGGTGGAAATCCAAAACAAAGCTAGAAGGAGACTGGACTTCAAATCATCAGGTGACCAGAAAATGATTGTTACTGCATCTGCTGGATGTGTAAATAGGCAACTCAATGCTAACAAATTCACCATATCAACTGAAAAGGTGATAATGTGTCAGTGTTAGTGTTTACAGCTTGTCAGTTAATGCTGCTTTAAAGAATTCAACTTGGAGCTGCATCTCTAAGGGAACTGACTAAATCTTTAATTTGAGATAGAAAGTTGTAATAAAAAGACTGCATCCACACAGATGTGGTCCCTGAGCTGCTAACATTTATCACCCATCACACTCAGGGCCAAGTATAAAAATTCCTTTGCACTAACAGGTGCTCATTACTTGGGTCACTACTACATTCAGATGGCCATGTTTGGGTCTAATGATGAAACCATGCAGTGGTTACAGCAGGGAAAGTGATACAATATCCAGCTGGTTAAAAAAAAAAAGAGGGAACATGAGCTATCCTTATAATGACACCCAAGGGGAATTTCTCTTTGAAAATCCAACTATTTTTTTATATTCTACAAGATTTTTAAATTGGTCCTCTCCAAGATTAGATAACTAATCCTTGTCTCAAAACGTTGTTTTTGTGTCAGTATTTGTGTCACCAATAAATAGACTCAATGTTCACAGCAGAGCAAATATCAGAGGTTATGTGGCTGTGTGTCTGTACAGATGGTAGCGATGGCGGTGTGAAGGCAGAGGAGGAGGAGGTGCAGGACTACCGGGTGAAGTGTTTGAACAACCTGGCTGCCGCTCAGCTCAAACTGGAGCAGTACGACGAGGCACTTCACACCAGCCGGGACGTTCTGACCCTCGAGCCAAATAATGTCAAGGCCCTTTTCAGGGCAGGAAAGGTGAGGGTCCTTCCTGTCACACTATTACTGAGAGTCACTGCAACTGTGAGGAGCATCTCATTTGATTCTTATCAATCCATAAATGATTAATACAGGGGGAGTTCCTGGAAGAAGGTGGAATCTGTTTAATATGGGATTGGATTTAATTATTTTTGAGGAAGAAATAGCTGCTACATTATTGCTATCTGTTCTCTGCCTGTTTTGATTTATAGGTCCTCCAGCACTGCTCACACTGTTGGCTTTCTAATCTGTTTCAGCTCCTGTCAGACAAGGGTGAATACAAAGAGGCGATGGAGGTGCTAAAAAAGGCCTTGAAACTGGAGCCGGCCACCAAGGTGAGATTAAGTGGGTGAGCTGGGTCCATCCCCTTGCCACGTTTCTTCCGAATCTGCATGTGAATCCCATCCATCCCTCACACGCAGAGGAAAGGTCATTCTAAAATTAGGCCACCATTATTATTAGAGCCACCAAATCTACCAGTATCAATACAAATAGATGGAAAATGTGTGATTTTATAAAAAAAAAACTTCACATATATTATAATAAAGGTCAAAAGTAGATTCTAAATTTTAATTTCAATGCTAAAGAAACACTGTCAAGCCTTACGTGGGCATTTACGTGACCCATCCCTCATGTAATTATTTAGATATATAATTCAATTATCGAAACCAAACATTATGTATGTGTATACCAACCAGCATCTGACAACAAGACTAAGACACTATCGCTCACAATGACGATGCTAATATGTGGATGTTTAGTTGGTAGTTAAATTGTGTTTATCGTCTTAGTTTAGTGTGTTAGCATTTGTTAATTAGCACTAAACACAAAGTAAAGGCTGATGGTAATGTCATTAGTTTTGCATTAACTATTGGACAAATTCAAATTTTGACCTGATGATGGCACTAAATGAAAACTCAAGGGTTCACCATACTTATTACAATTCATCCTGAGAGAGAATGGCTGAACCACATTCCAAAGCAATTAATCTTAAAAGTTGTTGAGAAATTTCACTCACAATCACAAATGTCAACCTCATGGTGGCGCTACACGAAAAGTCAGGGATCACTAAAGTTTCAGTCCAAAGTAGTGGACCAACAGAACAGTTGACCAAAATTTCTATCCATAAAGCCACGATGCTAAAAATATGTATATAAACAAACATAACCCAAACCAAATATCATTTATGCACCAATTTATGTCAGTCAACAGTTTGTGTGTCTGATTCAGTTCATGAAGAAAAACATAAAACGTCAATTAAAAGCAGATTCCCAATTTGACACAGGTCCCCTTTACTAGCCTAGTGTGGCTACACGTTTTGACAAATAAACACAATTAGATGCCTGGTATTCTTTAGAAGTTCTTTGGATATATAAAATCTCTTGAAGTCCACCGAGTCGCCTACTTGAGTGACTTCTAAGCTGCTCAGATCGCCAACACAAAAATAAATGTTTAAACTTTTGTCAATATGGACATCAGTTAGATTCTGCACAATTCAATCAAATTAATGATTTGTAATTGATAAGTTATCAGTAGCCACATTTTTATTAACTGAAGTTTTACAGTAGTCCATATACATATATTTAGAAAATGCAAAAACATTGTCAAAAAAGTATTAAATTAAATCTCCAGATTCAATTCTTATCAAATCTGAATCTTACAGCTGCTTGTTTTTATTGCAGCTTTTACAGTTACCAGGAAACATTTCAGGGGGAACCATGAACACCACTTCATCATGAAGAAAACCTTTCATGTTCAATATGAAAGTTTAGAGTATTTAGAGCTGTTTGCACATTAGCCTGAAGAAAAGGATCCCAGTGAGCTACTTCTGTTGAAGGCCTGTTCTGTCTTGTTTGTGTGGTTTGTCTAATCTGCCAAATCCTCCACAGAGGCTCCGGCAAACTGCACATCTGGCAGTCTACATATGTGACCACACTGCTCAGAGTTGTCTGGCAAACTTGGTTAAAATAACACATATGAGCTAAATATTGCCACTCTGTAGCCCCGTGCTCTAAAAGTAGTGAAGTGAAGGTAAGAAAGAGCCTCGCAGATACAATATAGACTCCACACTGTATAATTAAGATAGCTACTCTGGTGTACTGGCCGTCATGACAAAAAATGAACAATAATCTCAGTTTATGAGCATTACTTTAGTTCACTGGTTTCACTTACACTGGTTTGGTTTGTAAGAGTCAATGAATTGGAAGAGTACATTTCCGTCAGCTGTTTACAACACACTGCTGTCTGTATTACAGTGACCTGACCTATAGGGCACACAGCCACTGTCACAAATATGTCTAGTCTTGTCTAGACAAAACAAAAATATCTGCTGCTTTAGTAATTACACCCTTGTCTGGATGTCAATGCTAGATTAAAGAAAACTGATATAGCTGCTCAGTGAGAAAGTTATTGCACTAAAAAGAGTGTAGTTATGAGCCTTAAACAAGAATGCACGTATTTTCTATTATTTTAATACATTTTATGACCATTTACAACCGCTAATGACAAATCGAATGGAAGTATTTACAAAATATGATATAAAGTCCTTTGCATGGACATTTAGGATATAGATTAAAGTGCATTTCAAAAGAAGAATTAAGATTTGTTGGTTTTTGGTCTTTGGACTACTTTGTAAGGCTTTGTGTTTCAGACCTCTGCTCTCACCTGCTGGACATTTTTAAAACTGCAACTTCACCTTTTTCTCAATATAAAAAGGTTTCGTGTCTCCTTTACAGCACTGGATGTACAGAAATCAGCTTTTTTACAGCATGTGTTGAGATGTTGTTTTTTTCTCTCCCCTTCTCTCCTTTTATTCAGGCAATCCACGTCGAGTTATCAAAACTCGTCAAAAGGCAATCAGGAGGCAATGACACCCAAGAATGGAAAGCTAAACCAGCGGAGATGCTTGGAGACAATATCGCACCTTTTCTGATTCCTTCTAAGAAGAAACCATCTGTAAGCCATTACAGAAATATGTAAATATGTTTAATTCTGATAACCAACTGACTGGATTTTGACTGTCTTTGTCTGTTGTTGTGTTTTAGGGAATTTCCTGGAAGTTTTTACTTGGAGCTCTGGTTGTGGCCTTGGGCAGCTTAGTGACATCAGTGATTCTGACTGCAAGAAACTGAAATCCTTTGCAGGAACCTCTCGTCCTTATCACCATCATCATCATCATCATCATCATCATCATCATCATCATGTGCAGAGTTTGATTTTCAGTCTTTTTTAGTCATTTGAAAAGAGTTTTCTACTATGAAGACACAAGAAGGCATGCAACGCAGCAGCACCAAAGCCTGAAGTTGTATGATGTGAGCCTCACAAGGTAGAAAAATGTTTCAGTGAAAGGTATATGATAGTACAGCATCGAGTGAATTCACAATTCCAGCAGATATTTCTGCTGATGCATAAGAAAGAATTTTCTTTCCAGTTACGTCTATTTTATTTGGAAAAAGGGATTACATTTCTGTTTGTCATAAAAAAAAAAAAAAATGTCCTGGAAAATATTCTGGTATCACAGATACAAAAAAAAAAAGTGGCATGAATTTTAGTAAATGAATAACACGTTCAAAATGACAATTCTGAGATATGGTTGATCAGTGCTCCAATAATTGAAGGTGTTTAAACTGAAATGTAAAATCGCTTACATAAGCAATGCTTGCCATGCTTAATAAAAATGTTGTAAAAAATGTATTTTGTCTTTCTCTCTTGATTTTTTTTATATCCTAGCACATTTGTCACAGAAGTTTGGTCTAAGAGGGAAAAAAAAGTGCACTAATTTTAAAAGACTTAAATGCGTTTCTTTAATGTTAATTATTCATTTAAAATTACTTTACTACCAAATAAATACAAAAACTAGGAAAAATATAAGCATGATTACATTATGTGCATTTATATTCGTGCATGTTTTCTATCAATAGAAATCTTCATTTTGATCAGAGAATTTACTTTTATGAAAATATATACATATATAAGGCTTGAGAGTTAAATATTTTAAAGGTTAAAACATGTAAGAAAACTGATATCCTTCATCACAAAATAAAAATCACTTGGTGTCCTTCATTGCTCCGTCATATCTACTGATTTTAACCATCTACCGTCCACAGCAGGCGTTAAGAGTCTTCTTTGGGTTTGTTGGACTCAGTCTGACCTGAGAATCTGACTGCCGCCTCAGTTTGACATTTTTCTTTACTTCTCTGTGGAAAGAGAAAATAAGTCTAAGTGTTGCCATGGTTTGTGAAGGAAAAACACTTTAAACTCTCTCTCTAGCCTCCTACCTCGCTAGATGAAGCACAGCCTCAACGACATTGGTTCCCTCTTTGGCACTCGTTTCACAGAACAATGCACCGTATGCCTGCAAGCAAAGCATCGACATACCTGGCTGCAGTCAGTTTATTTAAACACCTGGGAGGCAGGGCGTCTGTATAAACACTTCTCCATCAGGTGGAATGAATAGTTACACACCTTGGCCAACTTCTCTCCGTGTAAACTGCTCACACAGCTTCCCTCTGGAAGCTGCTCTCTGAGGTCCACCTTGTTTCCAATAACACACATGGGGATTTTCTCCTCTGTTGCATCCTATTTAAAAACAAAGAACATTGTGAAATATATTCCGGCTTTTAGGCGGCGTCGTTCTTTGTCATTCATCATTTGTCAATCAGCATTTCCATAATTACCTGAATCTGATCCACCCACGCTCTCACGTTAAGGAAGCTGCTTTCTGAAGTAACATCATAGAGGAGCAGGACTCCGTGAGCTTTACGGAAATAGGACCTGGCAATGCTACGAAACCTGCAGTAAAAAGAAATACAACTCTATTTTTAGTCTAGTGTATTTTCCATTCACGAGTCATAAAAAAAACAGTTATATACAGAACTTGCTACTTTCTTAAGAAACACTATGAGAGTACCTCTCCTGCCCAGCTGTGTCCCATATCTGCAGGCTCGTCTTCTCTCCATCCACTAGCATCCTCTTCATTTGGAAATCAACTCCTGAGAACCAAAAAGCAGTTTTAAATGTCTGAAATCAAGAATGCGTCAGTGTTTGATGAAATGTGATGTGTTTGCTGTGGCACACACCCAGCGTAGTCTGAATGTCTCCTCTGAACTCGTTGAGCGTGAGTCTCAGCAGGAAGCTGGACTTTCCAGCTCCTGCGTCTCCGGCTAAAACCAGACGATACAGCGGACAAGGTTCCTCAGTCTCCTCTATGTCTGTATCTAAAGGCTTTGTAAATTGGGACAAAAGATAACAAACTTATCCAATTTTATGTGGAAATTCTTTTAGTCTGTGGAAGTTATTATAAAGAACACAAAAAGCATTTTGAGTGTGAATGTTTATTTTTGACCTAAACTCAAGGTCCACTTAGTTGTTTTTCCAGAGCCTTCGATCACATCTCACAGTTATTATATTATACAGACACCTGTTACCACATGACTGACACTCTATACTTTGTTCACCTGATGGCAACTGAGCAAACTCCATGAAAACTGTGAGACGTGGTTAAAAGCTCCAGAACCTTGAATTGTTTTGGTCAAATGTATTGAGTTATCTGTAGGTCAAAAGACGTCTAAACCAGGAAAAATTTGGTTGAAAATGATGTCAAGATTTACTTCAATAACCATCTTTTAACACGTAGTTGAAATACACATTTAAATATAGTCATTTAAATGCTGTCAAAACAATGGTTATGTGTAGCCTCGACATCTTAACAAGAGAAGCAACTAGCGGCTCTGTGAGGCTGTAACACTAAGGCACAGTAGTGAGCTAAATGCTCACATTGCTGATGTTTAGCAACTTTAGTGTAGTTTTGCATGTTAAACATGCTAACATTTTCCAGTAAGCACTAAACACACTGACGAGAATCTGATTAGTTTTACAGATATTTGGTCATAAAGTATTGGACAATTCCAATTTTGACCTAATGATGGTACCCCCCACAAAGGGTCGCAATATAAATCTCTGGGAGGAAAGCAGAATAAACAGTTTTATGCTACTTAAAAACTTATCTCTTCAAACTTTTCTCTAATCTTTCTTTTTCATGTAAGTAACAAATTTGACCTCTTTGGGACTGTTAAACTAAAACATGGAAAACTCAACTGGTAGACCTAGGTAGCCTTGGAAACTGCTTTGTTTTGAAGGGTCACTACCCAAAAGGGCAACCACTGAATGACGCTGCCACACCTAGACCCATTTTACCTTTGTGGAAAATGCAGACAAACGTCGTCGGAGGGATGATGCAATGGAGCTCACTGCGCTAGGAGCCATTGAGACTGTAGCTTCAGATTTCACTTCTGATATCTGTAACAGACAAAGAAAATACAAATGTGAAGTCCTGAGCGCTAAACAGTGCACTGGCATGCTCTGACCCACTATTTGAACCCAATGTGTGTTCTGACCTCCACATCAGACGGGACATACGAATAACTGTGGTGCACAGTTTCCACCGAGCTACTGCTGTCATCGCTGTCATAATCGCTGCCTGCGCTCTCAGCTGTGTCCATCTGCAGGGAGACTCCACTGTCCAGGTACTTATCAGCCCAGGTAGCCACATGAGAGTACGTCGTTTTGCTGGGATCCGGCCGGGAGCTGCACCAAAAGCACAGACACACACACACAGACAGGCTTTAAGCTGTGACAATTTAATTCGCTGAGATCAATCCCCAGATTCACAGAGGTGTGTATAAACCTTATAAACCTTATATACCTGTCGTGGTTGAGAGTACTCTGTCGGAGGGGTTTCATCCTTCGGGCTGGGATTTCATTTTGGGGAGACAGCTGTTGAGCAGATTAGGAATGTCGGGAGGAAACTTTTTTTTTTACACTCGAACTAGTGAAAACAATTTACTGTCAGCTTCTATCTGATGTAGAGCCAGTGGGTATGAAGAAATAAGTCATCAGCAAACAAGGAACTTACCCTCCTTTTGGCTGCCACCGCTTCACGGGCCAAAGCTGAGCGCAGCCCGTCATTACTGTCATACAGCTTTTTATTTGTTTCCCTAATGATGTGTTCAAGGAAATACAAGACAGGTTCAGATACGTGCACAAACATTTACGTTCATACAACAGTTGTGTGGCAGATAAATTGAATTGACAATTCAAAAACTTCTTTGTATGTGCTTTAACTCAACCAAACTGGACAATGCAGAGGCAGAAAACATTTACACACAAAGAGCCTCCAAAAGTATTTGAAAGTCAAATTAGTATCATTCATTGCTTAACTATGTACCTCATATAGCCGCATTATCCACTAAATACACTAAACCCTGTTCTTGTGGTAATTCAAGCATGTAAAAATGTTTGTTCAAACAAATTACCAAACTACCAAATTAACATAAATGCTACTTAGCCCCCTATGTAATGTTTATGAGCACAAATATTTAATAAATTATGTGTAACATCTATAATATAGTATAAAGTGATATAAGGACATTTTTAAGTGTTCGATAACGTGCAGTATTTGTCAACAATTATAATTTCTCTGTCTATTTTTCCAACACCAAACCTACAAAACAAGGGAAGGAAATTATTACCTTTTCATGGTTTCTGAAACAGTTGACTCTTTACTAAATTTCAACACTAGACAGGTTTATCAAGTGAAAGGCAGACTTACTGGAGAACCTGAATCTGACTGGAATATGACTGGTATTCCACAACCATCCTCTTCAAATCATCTGTCTCTCTGTAAAGAAATAAAAGCCACGTGTTGTCGCTGGATGCTGGATCATATTTTGTGTCAACGGACATGAGCTGAGGCTTAAAGACAGTGCCTCACCTTTCGTGTTGAGCTTTATGGTCTGCATACATGTTCTTCAGCTTATCCAGCTCTGAGTGCAGGATGGCGATGTCTGTCTGGGCTTGCAGCAGAGAGGTCCGCAGCTGATCATTTTCCTGTAAGGAGAATGGGTGATTGGTATGGTATTGGTAACAATTCTACACAACATACATGTGACTTGTCCAACTAACTTCCAAAATGACTTACTTGTGAGAGATCACTGATTTGTTGGTTCAGTCTGACCACCTCCTCCTTTGTATTGTTGAGTTCAGAGTCCTCCTGGCTCTTAAGAATAGACATTCACACAACCAGATTTTTAGATGTTCATATGGCAATGTGTTCTAATTAAATCAAATAAAAAAAGACAGGTTTCTCCAGACTCACAGTCCCATCTATTAGCAAACAAAGTAACAGCAGTAGCAAGTAGACCTGCAGGTGTAATCATCAATTACAACATAACACATTTTAATAAATCTTAAAATAGCTTTTTAAGGAATTGTGACCAAGAAGTGTACAGAGTGGGAGTTTAGAGAATAAACTTGACTCGACTCTGTGGTGTTCTCTAATAACTCTGCTTCTAAATAACTTTCTAAATAACCTGGGGGCACCCGGATAGCCCACCTGGTAGAGCTGGCGCCCTATGTACCAAGGCTGAGTCCTTGCTGCGGTGGCCCAGGGCTCGAATCCGACCTGCAGCCCTTTGCCGCATATTATCCCCTCTCTCCCCCCTTTCCTGTCACTATAAATTAAAAGGCAATAAAGTCCCCCCAAACCTTCTAAATAACTAAATATCTTTGGCACGGTTGTACTGCTACTTCTTGTCGACATATACACTAAGTCATGGTGTACGGCCGACCTGCTCAGGTGTAGATACTGAGCGATATAGTACAGCATCAGATTTCATTTGTTGATAGCACCAAGTGTGGTGCTCTAATAATATGCCCCACAATTATTTTGTTTACATTGGTTTAATTTACTCTGTGATGTAAAGAGACAATAGGTTTAGGTTTATCTAAGTAATGAATTTACGACTACTGCCATGCAGTCAATAACTCAAAAGTTCCAGTGTTTAACATCTAGGAGGATCGCTTGCCAGAAATGGAATATAATATTCATAGGTACGTTTTCATTAGTATATAAATCACCTAAAAATAAGAATCATTGTGTTTTCATGAACCTGTTGAACTGCCATGTCAACTACAGTAGCCCAGAAGGGACAAACCAAACACCCGCTCTAGATAGGTTTCGTGTGGAAATTGCTTCTAAGATGTGTGTTACTGAAAAGGAGAAGATCACAAGTATATGTCTATAACAGACATTTAACATTGAAGCTCATTTGTTTGATTATCGGATGCTGTAAAAATCCTCATTAATTTAAAGCTGCTTAGAAAATAAAGTCTTCAAAAAAAAAAAAAACATTTATAGTTTGGATACACACTAAAAGCTGAGTGTGAGACAATGACCTTCCAGTTTTACTAATTACATTATTTTAGCTAGCACTTGGCTGTATTTAGTGTTTAACATAAAACCTCAAACATGCACACACACATAATAGAACAGCAGCTGTAATGAAGAACACTGGCCACTAATTTATTTGTGCGCTTTGGTGGAAAAGCAGGCAGGACGGGAAATAGCATGTAGCTAGATTGTAATCCAAAACTATGGGATCTAGCATGGCCAGTGGGCTAACAACAGCATTCCACACACACTGCCCTCTCAAACAATACCATTATTGCAACAACTACTGCAAACTAAACTAACTTTTTAGTTTTGCAGTAATATCTAATGTGACTGGAGAAGCTAAATCTAATCACAAGGAAACACTGGAGACACATTTCAGAAGCATTCTGTTGCTATGTGTGACCTGTCTTTTTTCTCAGCTGGATCTTCACATACTGCAGATCTACTGCAAGATATTAGTTCTCAATAGGTCTTTTTGTAGGTGCTCTTCAAAAGGTCGCCTAAAAAATGTGTCCCTGTCTGGTGCAGCAGGGGTTTTCCCAGAAAAGAAGCCAGAGCTGCATGCAAGAGCTTTTGTGTTGTCTTTCAGGTACAGTGGCTTTCTTCTCTCTTTTTCATGATGCAAGAAAACATTATGCCTTCTTCATATAATCTGTTTACCACAGAAGAACAAAGTTAATGCATGTTGTGTTGGGGAAACCTACCTTTAACAGTCTGTCCACAGTTGTATGCAGTTCTGTGACCGTATTTTCATGCTTCCTCTGCATGGTCGCCAAAATTCCCTCCATTTTCTTTCGCTCCTAAAAACATGAAACCAAAGCAGTTAGAGGTGAAGACTGGCTCAGGCCTTGAAGAGGGGCTTTCATCTGACTTTACAGAGGCTCTTTGTAAGGAGACATATAACCTGCTGCTCTGTGCTGCACCACATATATGCATGTAGCTCAGAAGAGCCAGTGGAGAATGTGTAGAAGGTTTGACTTTACTATGAAATAAAACACATTCTTTTAGTTAATTTCTCTGTGTACTGTTCATTAATTAAATGCAGATACTTATACGAGAGCCAATTCATCTGGTTTGATACATTTCATTTGGAATTTTTATAAATATCAGAGTAAATCACAAGACCAATCAACCACTATAAATACTGCAGATATCACGCTTACCTCTTCTCTCACCCTCTCCTCTGTTCTGGATAGTTGCTGCTGTATATCGTCCTCCAGTTCTGTCAGCTGACTGTTGTTCATCTCCTCAGCTCTGTTTGAACAGAACACTATAGTCAAGTTTGTGCTACTGTGTCAAAGCTAAGATTTTCCAACAGTAGTCCAAGAGTTTGATACAGCCGGTCATTGACGCAACAATTCTACCTGACTGACTTCAAACTGTGCTGCAGTTGGGACTGCTCTGCTCTCGTCTGACAACACACGAACCAACCAGAGGCGAGGGAGGGGGCAGTCTTTGACAAATTGATTCCTCAGGTGTGATAAACTGTGTCAATAAGATTTTTTAATTAGAACTCACATACGATTTATTTTAGCTAAATATAAGCTTCATGTCACGATTCCAAAGGTCTATTTATGTCAACAGATAGGGGAAGAATGGCTACAATAAATGGGTATATCCAGTTTGTAAAAAGATTAAAAGAACAAGGCAGGGCAGCACATTTAAGTCTTCCTACTTCCTTGAATGAGGAATGTCACCTTTCTCATGCCATGCAATTACTGAACCATAGAAAGAGCTGAGACTCTAAACAAAAACCGCTTAGACACGTAATTCATTCCCATGTGTAGGAGTGAAATTCAATAGTCGGTTCAAGGTACTACGTGAAGGGATCACTTCACAGATTCAAAGAAATAATTAAAAGACTTAACTCACATCCTCCTTAGGCTTTAAATACCACCTAAAGTATTAACAACCAATGTTCAGCTTGAATATCAGTAACTACTGTGAAAAATCTTAAATTGGTATTATTGTATATCAGCATATCAATCAAATAACAGTTAGACCTAGGCGAATTAATATTTCTGATACTAACACTCAATCAAATAAGGTTGTTCATAGTAAAATATCACAGAGAATTGGAAACCATTATTGTGCACCAGATGTCAAAGTAAGCAATTAGCTGATAAAGAAAGTTGAACCTCTAGCAAAGATAAAACATAAGAGTGAACATTGCATCCAGAAGTCCAGCAGTTAATTCCAGCTGATGCAGTGGAGTCAGTGCCTGGGTTCATCCATCATCTCGGTGGTATAAAGCCACAAGAGGGCAGTAGTTCACCACTGCTCCGTAGTCAAAACAAATCTACAGGCAATTTGGTTACAGTGAGGACAGTTAGGACTATTTAATCAAATTCTACATTACTAAAACTTTGTCCATACCGCTTTAAACTGGTCTCCAGCTGTTCACACTCCAGTCTGTTGTCCAGGCTTTGACTGATCACAGAGTGGACGATTTCCTCATACTGCTGCAGCAGAGTCATGTTTGCAGAGGAGTGAATGGCCTTGTAAAGATCAGCCAGCTGCTCCATGAGACTGTGGGAGGAGAACAAACAGTTACTACCAGCAATGAACAGATCAGTGTTGTTCTCTCAATGTCATACTCCACCTGAAATCTATCTTTCTAGTATCAAATACCTCTGAACGTTATGTACATCAGGGGTTCTCAACCTGGATTCCAGGGACCACCGGGGGGTCCTTGTGGGCCTTCCAGGGGTCCCAAGAAAAATGGGGAATATTTTTATTCCATTATTATTTCACTAACTAGAAGTTAGCCCAATGAGACAATGTATAAGAGTGACTATTCTATCCGTTACTGTTAATCTGCCAATCTACAGTACAGACAGTTATAGAATAACTAAATATAATCAGATGGGTGACTACATCTGATTAAATACAAGTCAGTGGCATTATGAGTATCAATCTGGGGGTCCTTGACACCAAAAAGGTTGAGAACCACTGATGTAAATATCTCTACATTTTGAAATACCCAGACAGTAACAACATGTTATCACAGTGTGTTTAAATCCCATACAGGATGTACAGCCATGTGGCAATTAATACCTTTTTGCCATATTTGCTGAAACTTTTACTCCATCCTGAGTGAAAGTACGAGACAGATAACCTGTTAAAAAAAAAAAAAAAAAACTGGTTCCTCTGGCTCGTCCTAGTGCTTCCAATGCCCTGAACTAAAACAAACAATCAGAGCCAAGAATGATAGTCTGTATTTGACGACTCAACAATCGTCTATCTTTCCTCGCTCTGATTAGTTGTTTTCATTCAGGCCCGGTGGATTCTTGCAAATGCCATTAAGAGCACGAGGAGGGGCCAGAGGAACCTGATTTTTTTTCCCACAGATTATCTGTCTTGTGTACTATTGTCAGGATATAGTAAAAGTGACAAAAAGTTGTTTTTTATATAAGTTACCTACTGCAGCTACTGTATAAGATATGCAAAAACCACTGGAGAAAACATATTCCAACAAGTTCAAGATTTGTCAACAAAAACTTTTAGAAGTCTGTTCAAGTTTCAATTTGCAGATCTATAAACAGAACAGCTTGAATTTGTATATTTGTGTTTTGTTATCAGCGATGATCTTTGTTATCAATAAACTTCCATACAGAAATAAAACAAATCTCAATCTGTCAATCTGAACTCTGGTTAATGATAGTAAGCTTTCATTTTTGATTGTTATCTGTGTTATTTACTGTTTATGGTCAACAACTGTTAATTAGTGGCAGCCTTTTTTTCTATAGTTTTTCTCTCCTCTATCATGGCCACTTGTATTTGTAACCACTTTCAAAATAAAATGCCCACTTCACATTGATGACATACACTTAGCAGCCAGCTATTAGGTTCACTTAGCTAAAACGAATGCAGTTTGCAACAGCCCTGCAATGAATCCTCCTTTCATGGCAGAGAGGTTTTGATTCACCTTCAGTCATTTTTGCTGCATCTCATGATCTTCATCAAACAATGGTTTGTTGTTTCCGGCGCCCCCTTTTTCACAGCAGCCATTTTGACATGAAACAGTAGGGTAAACACAGGTGTTACCAGTGACACTAATTAAGATTCTGTTCGATTCAGGTCAAACAGAGTCAGGAGTGCTGCTATTGTGCATGTCGGCTCCCTGGAAAGGCTCTGCTACACTAAATGGAACAGAGCCTTAATTAGTATCATTGGTAACAACTGTGTTTAACCTATTATTTCATGTCAAAATAGCTGCTGTGAAAAAGGTCTATTGGGGAACATGATGACAGCTGAGCTATCTCCATGACAACAGAGTTAATAGACCAGTGGTTCCCAACCTTTTTCTTAAAAGGGACCCTTTTCATATAATCCGTAAGCTGACGACCCCTGAAGTGTTATAGTTTGTGGATATTTCATATTATATTCAAAACTGTACAATTAATTAACAGGGAACTGATTTGGATGAATTTTGAGCAGATGATTTCCTGTTTGGGAACTTTTTATACAATTCTGTTTGTTTTATGTTTTTCAAAAAAAAATCATTTTAAACAATTATACATTACAACTAATAGGCTTGTTTTTTTGACAAATTCAGTGTTCTTCAGCTCTTTGGTTGTTTTAACTTTTCAAATGCTGGATGAGGCTGTTTATCAGAGAGTGAAAGCTCTGTGAATATTGCTTATGTCTTCAAAGTTTAGATCTTAAATAATAATCTGAACTTTAAAAATAACAATTTACATGTAATTTATTAACAAAAAAGTGGATTTGGTTCAGCTAGCTGAATTACTCCTTGAAGTTACCAATAGTAATGACTGATCAGTGCCGCAGGGCAAAACCCCTGAAGCCTTATTAAATTAGACCTTGATGTGTATCTTGTGTGTACGGCTTATGAGTCACCAGGACTATCCAGCACGCTTCAAAATAATATAATAAATACATGTTTTATAAGCAGAATCACAAACAATTAAAGCATGGCTTAAACTACTGCAGTATAACTGGCTGACGTGAACATATGTAACCCCAGAAAAGCTTAACAAATACAATAGTGCTATACCTGATATATGCATCAAGTGTGAAATGGTACACTTTCCCACTTTGGCAATGTACTGAAGCAGTGAGATTGTATCCAGGACATATTATCCATACAAATTCCTCTAGACCCTAAGCTTTAAATTCTAGGTGTATTCCCAGTTAATCATATTCAAATTCTACAATGTTTTTATTAGTTTTCAGCGTGTGTGCATTAATATAAAACATGCTTGAACTAAAGTGTATCATTCTAATGAAATCCTCAACACTTGTATTTTTAGATGTTTGCTTTGACTATTTTGTTTGATTGTTGATGAGTCTTGTATTCTTCTGTGTCTGCGCAGAGATTTATACATAACCTACACACTGGTGTGCACAGTGCAAACTACAGGGGAGATTGGCTTCTCTTAATAAGACATGAGCTCCCCTGAAAACATGGGAGGGGTCTAAAATATTTACAAAATCAGCCCTCCAAAAGACATTTTAGGCTGCAACAATCCCTAAAATGTCTGATTTCTTTCTTTTATAGACAATGGTGATGCATGGTGGCATGCTTTTAGGCATTTTTGCAATGAAATTGCAGGAGAAAGTGAAATAATTCATTTAAATTTTAAGGCAATTTGTTTCAGTGAGACAGGGATTGGTTGAATTTGTTTAATTGTTCCTGGAGGAACTACAATATGTTATTTTTGCCATGCATTCCTATTTTTGGATTATGTCTAAACTTACTATTGATGTACAGTGTTGGGCAGTAACTCATTACTAGTAATAATATTACAGTAATAATATTACTTTCCCCAGCAACTACAGAGTTACATACAATACATTTCAACATTACTTTTGTTGTCACCCTGTACTGATCTGAAATCCAGCAATCCAATCACATCCTTGAATTCCTTTTTCTTAATCGTGGAGGAAACTAGTGTGGAAGATGGAAATATTCCATTACTTTGATTTTAACAAACAAAACTGTATTTTAATCATCCTAAGTCTGAATTTTGGGGAGAAGGGACACAATTAGTGCATCTACTATAACTAGTAGTGCAACGAATGACTGGTAGCATGGAGTAATAGATAAAGTAATAATATTAACGTATTTTTCAAAAAAGAGTAATATATTACATTTTTTGAGTAACTAGCCCAACACTGTTGATGTAGGAGGGTGACTCCACTAATTCACTTTAAAAAGGAGACTTCTATCAACTTCAGATAGGAAAACAGTCAGAAAAGGTGAGCTTCCCAGTGATATATAACGATATATATATATATATATATATGTGTGTGTGTGTGTGTGTGTGTGTGTGTGTGTGTGTGTGTGTGTGTGTTTGTGTATTAAGTGTTAAGGTGTTAATCAATAAAGCCACAGTATGTACTGTAATGAAGAAACCCCACCAGGAGGAGCAGCCAACGTTTAACTGACCGTTAAATAACGTTTGACAGTTGGCTGGTTAGTTAAACCCAGGGATGGGATGGGATGGGATGGGATGGGGGGGGCAGTTGGATGAGTTTACCTTTCAGAGAGGAGAGACTCTTCATCCAACCTGCCCACAAACTCTTCCCACGGACCGCCTCGGTTTTGGGACGACCCGGCACCGAAAGACGCCAGGTCCAGAGTCTCTGAAACCTCCTGAAACCTGGAGGAGAACTTGTTGTAGTCGATGTATCCGTCTTCGTCCACGTCGAACTTGTCGAACAGAGTCTTGATCTCGGTTTCTGGGACGTTGAGCTCCCGGCAGACAACGGTGAAGTCCTCGTACTCGATCTTACCGGATTTGTCCACATCACAAGCAGAAAATAGTCTCCGAAGGCTGGGTCGGTCCATAGTTGAATTAATTAAAAAAAAGAAAAACACACACAAGACATATAAAGTGTGAGGTTAAAATTCACCCTCTCTCCCGAACTCAACAACTCAACAAAATAAAAGCCTTCTCGGTGAAGGTCTCGCAGGTACTCCGGAGCCACCCATTGGTCCAGATCTCGGTGTAGGCGGGTGTCATCTGAATTCATGTGGCACTTCCTACCTGGGATCTCACGGCTTGCTGCAGGTTGTAATTGTTTGCCTTCATCCTGTCATCCATGTGTACAGTGTAACACAAAAGAAATACAACTCATACGCAAGTGCTTGCCTCTGTTTGACTTTAAGGTGGTGCAATGTGAGACTTTTATCAGAGACATTCCTCTTTGTTTGCAGAGTGTGTTTCTGACTCCTCCCTAGAGACTGAAACCAAATATTATTAAACCCATCAAAATCTTAATATTGTGCCCGAGCAGTTATATTTATCTGTAAAACAAATAAATATAATACAAAAATAATCTTACACAAAATACACAAAACAGCAAAAAATCATGAGCCATTCAAATAAAAAAAAGTATCCATTTGATCTTTATTTGAAAAAATTAAAATAAAGTGCTTTTTATATACAATACAAAAAAGGAAAGGAAAAAAACAGTAGTGATGTATGATACAAAAAATTACAATTCACAATATTTTTTACATTGGCAGCTGAATTTACAAAACAATTTTACATAAAAACTATTTTTTTCTTACAGTGCAATACATGTTGTCAAGACTCTGGGCAACTTGTACTGTCACAAATAGAAGGCCAGACTATAGTGGTTTTATTAAGAGAGAGCGTAGACGACGATACTTTCACTGTGGCATTAATAGTTTAGGCATGTATTCGAATAAAAGCATGTTCAGTACCTGCACATATTTTACTAAATCACTGCCACTGTATATTTTCTCGCACTTAGCAAATTTAATATTGTTCTGATGACAGCCACTTCACCAAAAGCTGCCCTTTTGTGTTTCTAATAACAGTCAAAGCATGAATCTTCCATACTGCATGATTGATTATACCCGAAACCAGTCTTTGAAATTCACACAGTCATTTTTGCAGTGCCATTTACTTTACAAGAAATGTAACGTAATACTAATGCGTATCTATAATTCAGTATTTTTAAAATCAGCCAGTGGTTATTTATGTGCTACAGTTTTAGAATAAAATTTTGTCCCTGACTGAGGTTGAAGCCACCATAACAAAAAATTAAATTAAATAAAAAAAAAAAAAACACCTCATGAGCACATACTGTACAACACTGACAGTATTAAATTACATGTATTTCATGTTTTTCACTCTTGTTTCTGAGCATGGCCAGTCCTGTCTGACTCTACAGCACTACGACCTGGTTAGTTTATTATCCCAAGAGGCACATCTCTTGATTATTGTTTCACAAGGCATTATCTGTTTTCCCCAAGGCAGATTTGTTATCAAATCCATAACCTGCATTGTACTAAGGCTTTTCAAAATCATGTGCAAATCCTATGCATTCTGAGTCAAGCAAGTATACCTTCCTGCATTTTTGTGATGTTTTAATTTTGCTGGCTGCATTACAACACTAGAGCCAAACTCAAAGTAAGACTTACATTATATTTTTATGACATGAAAAATGCTTTCAAGTTACTCCAACATCTGACTTATAAATGTGGTGGATCATATGGTTTACAATTATTATTTCTCCATAAGGAGATGGCTAATCAAGATAATTAAAAAGCGCAATTCTTATAGTTATTACTGGAAAAAAAAGACAATTATTGCTTTTATGGTTGCCTTTAAAACCATTTAAGCAAGCAGAGGGCATTTTCTTCCATTCATCAACTCTCATCAATAAGTATATCAAAGTTGAGGCTATACAGATGCGTGTTATTTAAATCAGATTATGAATGGGTGTATTTAAATATGTATTATTATTATTTCCCTTTGATTAGTGATAGATATTTAAAACCTTAAAGAATTATTAGGAAAAAAATTTCTCTCTTGACCAATCTCCCTCCTTAAAATACACCAAAATGGCTAAAATCTTTTGCATACTTAGAGTTAGTGTAATGAGAGCGTGTGCCAGGGTGTGTGTTTGCAGTGCAACTGGTCCTAAAGTAATTAACAGTGCCAACACCTTTGTGCTTACTCAGTCTCGAGGTGAGGTTTTCTTGGTTTTTTTTACCCCACTTCACATTATTTGCTTTGCATAGACTGCCTATCTCATGAAGAACAGCATGATAATACCTGGAATGAGATTTTTCCCTTTATCACATTTGGTGACAGACAACCCTGTCGAAAGTCAGGCTTCAACAGAGGATAGTAATACCAATACTTTAAAAAGCATAATGTGTCTTCATTTAGGATTATATAATAATATTTTTTTGGTGTGTAGTGATTGAGGTGGTAAGAGTTTCTACAACGTTTTTTACTGAGGTGATTTCTTGTTTTATTAAATTTTCATTCTCTTAGCAAAATTCTTTCTCTGCCGCTGTGTTTAAGCCCAAACAACAAGCATACGTCTGTGAATGCACACTGGCTATCTAAAAACAAATCTATGACAGGACTTTTTTTTTTCTTTCTTTCGTGCCTGCCACGGGATTCTTAGTGTATATTCTGGTGTGATTGTTTACTTTGCTACAGAACAGTACATAGTGCATAGCCTCAGCAAAGGGTAGGCCCATAACCAGATGACAGAATGAAAAAAAACAGCAAAGCACTGTTTCAGCCGTTAGTGGGAACATGTTTGAATATCACTCTGCCTTTCAAAGCATTACCAGTAGATTTTATGGACGGACTGAGTGGCAATGCTATGAAATTCAATCACTGAATCATAGTTGTGACACCACCTCTGCGCTTGTTACATTCCTGTGAGCCGTACGTGAAAGCATCAAAAGTCTGAAGGCAAACTGGAACTTCTTCAGTGTGATTCAAATGCACTTGAATAAAGGGGGAGTGAGAGGAAAATAAAATAAAATGCACATGGACCACAGGAACAGAACATAAAAAAAGACAAAGTGCAAAATCTGTGTAATGAAATGTCTCTCCGTGAAGAGTCTGACGTTCCTCAGTTTTCACGCTTATAGGGTTTTGTCTTTCTCAGCAAGTGCACTCTTTCCTTTCAGTTCAAAATGAGTCACTCCGCATAACATAAAGCCAGCCTCACACTATAGAGTCTTTAATCTCAGAGCCTAGTCTGACTCGAGGCCGCGGGCATGTGGGGGAAATCTCTACGTGGCTCTCTCTCAAGTTCAGCGGCCTCTTCTCCGACTCTGAGAAGCTCTTGCTGTTGTCGGGCGACGAGCACTCGTGCGGTGGAGTGCTGCAGATGTAGTTGTCGTTAAGGGTCTGGTAGCCCTTGTGATCTGACACCGACGCTGTCACTGTGTTGCCATTTAGCGGCAAGTTCTCAACCGGTTTCCCCACTATTCTGGGCTTCTTCTGCTGCATGTTGGGGCACTCGCCCTCCTTAAGCATGGATTTCATGTGGTCGCGGTTCCTGTAGATCACAAAAAGAGAGAAGACCACGAGGGAAAACGCCAGGAGGGCACACACCACTATAAGCTCGTTCCAGTAGGTTTTAGTGTTGATCTGCGGTGAGCGGGCCTCTCCTGGCAGGATGATAAACTCCTCCTGTGAGATCTGTGGTGTACGTGAACGGCCTGTCAGGGTGGTGCTCTCCTGCTTGGCCTCGCCCCTCACACAGTAGTTGGCCAGCAGCTGTCTGAAACCTTCTTCCACTGACCAGCACTCGTAGGTTTCCTGGCTGTCAGCTTGTGCTACCACTACTAGCCCCCCCTCTGGGCTGGGGTAATGGAAGTGACCTGCGCTCTCACTGAACTCCCACTTCCTTTCAGCCAAATTGGAGCGCAGCTTGCAAGGCAGTACTTTGAAAGTGTTGGCCGGGATAATGATCACCTGGCATGAAGACATTCCTGTGGAAAGGCAAAGCAGAGACATAGATTGAGTCAGATATTACATTAAATACGCTGTACAGCCTTATTTTAGTGCAGAATTCAGAATAATGGTTTAAAGCAATGAACACTTTTGAAAACAAGACTCTGAAAGCTGAAAACTGAAAGGTAAAGCATGGAAAAATCCAGCGCAGAGTGCTGCTCCATAAATCTATGACAGTCCAGAGAAGAGGAGTTCACTTACGTGTAGGTAGAGGTTTAGCAAACCGTGGGCTTGGCATTGTCTTGTTGCAAATAGCTGATGTGTCTGCTTCATCTACATCCTGCTGCCAGGCACTGAAACACATATATTTAATCAGAAAGTGGGATCTTCAAATTCTTATATTTACCTATTATAGAAAATGTATGTCTAAAAACTTTAGCTGCAAAACTGTTTGTAGATTAATGGGCAGAGAGATGCATACTTGCTTGGTGTAGCCTGTCTGACATCCACACACTGCCTCCCGTTCCAGGCACAGTATGGATCCCTGGAGAGGATGCACTCCCCGCAGCTCTGATAATTAGTGCAGTTAGCTACTGGGACCTCCACCAGTTCAGAGAAAGAGGAAACATAAAGCTGACCCTGTGGAGGAGAAACGACAAAGAAGGGGACAGGAAGGAAGTGCCCCAAATACAGTTACTGGGTTACTAATTTCATCCAGAATCTTCCTGGTCTGACCCTGAACTAAATACAGCACTCTTAGCCTTTATTAACACCAGTTTAATATAAATATATTTGCCTGAATGCATAACTCTAAGTATGAAAGACAAGCCAGGATTCAGACAGTGTCAAAATTCCAGCTGTTAAAATCCCAGCTGTTTGTGGATCCCTTGAGAGAAAGTTGTATGTAATTAGCTCATTGAACACAAGGTCTGCTTTAGGCTGTGACTGTTCATGGCTCATGGAATCTCTAAACTGCCAATAAATGCATTTACTGAGCTTGTTATTAGTTCACACCATGGGAAAGCGCCGTAAAACAAGCTGAGCTAGTTTTCTCTCTCAGCAATCCACTGTACCTTTTCAGTGTCCAGCTCAATGTGTTGCACTGGTTGGGAATCACGGAAGAGCACCATCTCCTCAATGATGTGCATCTTGTTGTTGACATTAATGGCTTTATGAAGTCTCCCATCATCTAGAGGACACAGTATAACTTGTTATTAGATTAAAGTCTTTGTGAATGTTGACGATTGCTACAAATCAAAAACAAATGACGAAGCGTTTGTGTGTGATTGCAGGTGAGTGCTTTACCTGTGCCAATGAAGAGCACATTATACGCTTTTTTTGCTGCCTTTACTCGATGAACGGCAATCTGCGTGTAGCGAACATTACGTTTGAGCAGGAGCGGCTGGCTGCGAATCACGCTGTCCATCAGGAAGTGGTCTTTGACAAAATTTAGCACCTTGTCCGGCATGTGCAGCGAGGAGGAGATGCCCTGTTCCCTGGCAGCATTTGTGATGCACTATGGAGGCAACACATCAAGTCATTTACATACATTCACATTGGATAAATGATATAAACTGCAGCTGTACAGCATGTCACTGTTCCTTTGCTAAGATTTTTCAGTGATTCAACTGTGATAAGACCGCCAGGAAATGAAAGCGACAGCACACAGATAAGAATACTGTTTAGAAGGAGAGGTGAGGAGTGACACCGGCTCAATGGATGTCTGTTTGAGCCATGATCGTCAGTCAAGATTGAGGATGTGACTGATGACCAGACAGGAATGTATGAAACTTGTTCATGCTACTGACATGACATGCTGCTGAGTACGGACGTGTGTCTACAGGTTATCCAGCAGAGGGCAGCAGGCAGGTACTCACCACTCCAGGCCGAGGTTCTGGGACAGGATGGTTGTATGTGTACCACTGTTGAGTCTCTCGGTTGACCTCACGGTATCGCCCATTGAATGCATTTTCCACTTGATCCATAGTGAAGGAACACACTGCAGAGCTTCCTGAAGCACCTTTATACCTTATAACACAGAAACAAGCATATCAACAATACTGAGTGATCATTTATTGACCTCACAGAGGGGATGTTTTACACTAAAAGCCTAAACAACTCTGTATAGAATACTGTGGTGAGCTTTAACTGCCCAGGGAATTCAGATGAAAATTAACTATTCTATTCTCTTGTTAAATTTATGTTTTTTGTACATGTTAAAATACATTTAATACAATTAACATTGTAGTTCAAAACCCCCAGGAGAATTCCACCCACATCAGATATTTTGAGTTTTGAAAAAATATCACCAAATGTAAATCTCCCTTTATAATGGTCTAAATAACAAATCTTGACTAACACTGCCAGGCATGTAATTGCATTGGAGAATACTAAATCCCTTTTATTTCATTTTATGCCTAAAAATTGTAATGTAATTGCACATTGTTAGTGTCCCTTTTATTCATTTAACCAGCCCAAATTCTCAGAAATATTACCTTCAAAAAGTTGCACTTTGGTTTCAATCGAAACTTTTTTATAGCATACTTGAGACTATAATAACATTTTTATTCTTCAAGTGTGCCAATTTTACAAAAGATATCTGAAGGTATGACTACATTAGTTTGGTGGTGCGTTAATCAGAGTTGGTCCTCACCACTGAGATGTGAAGACTCCATAAAACACAGTGTTCTTCCAGTCCTCGGGGCTGGGCGTCAGCACAAACATGTCTTGAATTATGTTGAAGGGGAAGCCATCATCGGGCAGAGAGCACAAGAGTTGAGCCTTCAGGAAGGTTGTCCATTTCTTCTGCAGTACCCTCTCGCCTCCCATGTCACCCTGCAACACAAATATTGTAGATTTGGAGCTGTTTAACATGTGGCCAGTAGAGGGTGCAAGAATATAAGACTGACATCTGTCCTATGTGGTGACTGTTGACAATGCAGCTGAAAGAACAGTTTGACTTGATGGAATCTGACAGGCTTGTAAGAGCCATGAAATAATAATGTGCACCATATGGTACGTTGCCATGGCATGCCTTACATACCATAACATACAGTACATATTGTAAATTATATTAGGAAAACAAGTCTCTCATCTTTATCTGCCTTCCTCATGACTAATAACAGAAACAGAAAGAGAGTGCAGTGTTCAAAGGTGAAGCTGTTTGAATTGACATAACTGAAAAACATTAACCTCACAGAGTAAAACCATAATGAGCAAAATCAATTGTGCCCATAACACAGATATACCCTGAGGCAACAGACTTCTAGGTCATGAAAACAATATACATCATCAACTGGCTTAGATAAAAAACACTTGGGCCTTTGAGGAGGGCAAATGCTTTTCAATGAAAAGAAGAAGAGACATTCCTCCCCGACAATCCTTCTTCACTGACACTACTGCTGTGATTCGCCGCCTTTGGCACTAGCCTTCAAAGTGATGTGTGGCACGGGACCTCCTTGACATGCATTCTAATTTGGATACGCAGATGTACAATAGTATATCTGTGCAAATGCAGAGAGCAACTACATCTTTAAACCTTAATGTAAACCTAATTTACAGTATGTAATGTATGACTGTAACAGATTATATTCCGCAGGGACCTACAGGCCTCAGGAAGGTGACGTTTTACCTACACAAACCAAGAGTCTATTTTAATTCTGCAGAAAGACCTGGGATTTAAAGGGACAATGCTCTCCTACACCAAACAAACTGTTAACTTTCAGCTAACAGATTCCAGTTTTCTCAGAGGCATAGATCTAACCAGATGCATGTTGGCTGTTGGAAGGAATAAGTAGTTTTAAAAATGTAAAGAGCAGAGGACCATAGAGAAACACTAAATGATCTAAACTACAACAAAACCCTTTAACATGAAGCTTCAATTGAGTCCACTTTAGTATTACATTAATCAGAGGAAATGGCAGCCAGGATGGGAGGGGAAATGACACATGACCAGTACTGAGCTTCTGAAGCAATTACTTATCGGAGTAACCCAGGCAGATAATGAGCGACATACAGTATATTCTCTCGTCTTCCTGGCTGAACCTAGTTTTATAATTTAATGCCACTCTGTGCTTAAACTGACTTCTGAATAATTGAAGCAAATGCATCCCGTTCATTAATCCTTTGTAAAAGCATCCCTTGTTCAAAAGGCTGTTCAAAAAGCTGTGAACATGTAGGCAGTAATGGCTTCCTTCTGGGAAACTGAACAATCCTGCAAATGAGAACATGCTTTGTTTTGTTTGTTTCAAGCAAAACGTTGTTTATCATTCCATAGTTAGCCCCGATGAAGTGGAACCTGTATACTGAACACCTGAATAAACAACAAAGAGGACGCTTACTTTATATTCTGAACATATTTTAAGCATATGTGAGAAAACCCATCATCAACATGCTACATTAGTCAATATTTATGTAACAGTGTTAACAGGAATTAGTTATTTTCAATTGGATGCATGGAAAAACTGAGTGGATAATTACATGAAGATGAAAATATGACCCTGTGGGTAGTGTCTGACTGAAACAGGACTGTGATTCACCCCTGGGATTTCTATGGTGCCACCTCAGGGTTTATATCTGATGCACACATTGTAGGTAGCGTCTTGACAGCTGGATGACTGTCAGACACACACCTGGAGATGGCCTGAAAATAAAAAATATACTCTCTCTCTCTCCCCATGAAAATTCCTAAAAAGTTTTGATCAACAATAGTGAAAAAATCCAATAAGATGGTGTCACGGGACAAGGTTGAAATACAAAACATGTCTTTGCTGTCCTCTAACAGCAGCTCTAACCTGACATATTTTCTCTGACGTGAACATCAACTCTCAGCTGGTATTTTTCATTCTCCTTGGACTGTGATAAACATGATTGTTTTCCCAGAGACAGTCAGATCTGGAGAACTGGTTTATGTTGTTACGATCTGTAAAAGACCCTAAAAAATATGAACAAATGCTGCGTGAGCAGCAAAAGCCCTGGGTTTAAGTATTTCAGCAGGTGATAATCCATTTATGTGCATGGATCTAGTGCTACAGTAATCCTAAGCCATTTTGAGTTGGCTACTGAGTCCTGCTGGAACACAAATATTTGGTGAAACATGATAAGAATTGAGGGAGGAGAGGATCTGGAGAAAAGGAATCAAACAGAGAAAAAGAAGCAAGAAGAATGTTTTTCTGTAACAAGAGAACCTGCGTCACTGCCCAGAAAGACTGTGAGCTATACTCATCACATTTACGCTTTCTGAAGACTACATATAAGTCCGTCTAGGAGCATATACTGAACACAAACACACATGAAATACACAGTGGTCTGACAGATTCCTATAGTGACGGGATGGGGGTGTCGGGAGATGTTGCTCAAGGGGGAAAGGGCTCCTTTAGATGGACTATCTCCCTTCAAGCATCACTCACCTTACACACGCGAGCAATGCGTGACACAATGGTGTTGTCAAAGAAATCAAACTCCTTTCCTGCTTCGCTGAAGAAGAAGTAAATCTTATCGTCATCGCCCACTAGGTTGCCCTTGGGCAGGCTCTCCTGTATGTAGGCAGAGCCAACAAAGGCCGGGTCTGAAAGAAAAACAACAGGAACAATACTGTCAACCTACAGTATATGAAATTCAGGTTTCCAGGGACAGATGTCCCTATTCCCTCTGACATCAACACACTAAATGGAAACTCCAATTGCATCAGGGACTCTGAAAGATTATAGGTAAACACTTTTCTGTTCTCATACAGCATATCTGGCACAAGCAGCTTTTGATATTAGTATGTATAATTTCTATTATATGCGCATATAATGAAAAGCATTGCCTTCCAGCCAAAGACTTGTACCTTGAAGCCAGTTGAGTGAGTTTTCTGTTTTTAGAGCAGTTCCTTGGCTTAGACTCTTGTAAATGATGGGTTCATTTCCTTGGAAATTACTCACTGTACCAGCATACAGCTCTCCATCTGCAACGCAATGAAGAAGACCAGCATAATCATAGTGTTTACCACCAGGGAATGGGCTTTTACGTCACGCACAGTAATGAAATCCAGAGGTTATGTCGCAATTTGTCCACATATCAACCACCTGTGTCTAGTTACTTTGTATACACTGTGGGAATTATCACATTTTTAACAAAGCTTGACTTTATCAACAGCTGAGCTGGGACCTACCAGCCATGATGGCAGTGGACTTGTATTCAGGGTTGAAGGGGCAGCGGCTTCGTCCATCCTCTGTAACAATCTCACCGGTATCACTCTTGATGAGGGAGAAGTCTGCAGTTTTCTGGAGAACACAAACACAAATCAAATGGCACATGCTTAGTTGAAAAGTAGAGCTGTAAACTGCTCTGACAGTGACCACTGTCTGCCTGTCCCACAGTAAAAAAAGGTAGTCAGTCAGACTTTCAGTAAAGTTGAAGCACAGGCCCTCCCTGTATGTTTGTTATGAATTGTGCTAAAAGGCTTTAAAAGATTTGTAGAAAAGGATTGCAAACTGGGTCGATTCTTATATAATCTGATTACATGCATTAAATATTTTGATCCATCTCCCTTTGGCACAGGAGATAATAAAATAATGCACATACAGTGCATTGTATCTTGCTGGGCATGGGCCTCAGCCAGACTGCTAAGTGAGCTGAAGGCAGGAAGCAGCACGCATCAGATTTTAGATGCTCTTCCTCCAGAATCTAATAAATAAACTGCACATATAAATCCTGCATCAGGGGTAATCAACTTGTCTAAAAAACAAAACAATGAATGACACAGCTTTTTAGATCCCCACAAAACAAGACAAGCACAGGTAGAGTTTAGCTGCACACAGCAGGTCACTGCAACATATGTGACTGTTTCATACAAACACTTACTATGTAAGCACAGGTGGGGCTGAAGGCGTATGTTCCACACACGTACAGATGAGTGCTGTTCAGATGTAGCAAAATCTTGATGTAGTTGAAGCAATCCGTCTGTATTAGAAACACAGACAATAATTTCATGAAAATGGTAGAAAATTAATTCAGCTACTAAGATGCTGTAAAAGGATATAGGTGATTATGTTTGGATTTTTTTCCAAAAGTTACTGTGTTTCCTGTCTCAGACATAGTAATTTACATAAGCTTATTAGAAAGTGAAGATAAATATGTAAATAAAACAAAAATGATCAGCGGAATGCCTCACAGTCCAGCAAATATGAGATTAGAGATAGATTTTTGTGTCATTTATCTTCTTATCCAGCAATTCTGAGATGGTTTTTAACATTCAAAACAAACACTGTTTACTCCTGCTAAGTAATCTTGAAAAATTGACAAGATTCTAGGTCTGTTGTTTATGTATAAAAGTGGTAGAGGAGTAAGCTGACAAAAGAAAGAGTGTAATAAAGGAAAAGTTTGTTTGAAGGTAAGAGAAAGATCCATTGTTAAAATGGAAAGTTACAACTTGACAGGAAATTTCCAGGGTTCTGCCCTGGGTCTGTTTCCAAAGTGCCACGCAACAATGGTCAACTTGACCAAAGAGGCAAACCTGCAGTCAAATAAATACAGTTGAGCCATCTGACTTTTGTTACTTGAACTTTTACACCAGCAGTTAACTTGCCTGCAGGTCTTTGCCTTTGAAACTGCACTCGTCTCGCTTCCTCTCTGGAGTTTTCCATGTGAGCTGCAGGAGAGAAACACAGTCAGACTCATACTGTGGGTATACAGTCAGGTAGGTTATATTCACATTGGACTTCTGGGATCATATCATATTTAGAACCATATTCATATTGTACCTCTGGGATCCTATTATAACTACATTCATAGTGATACAGTATACGATACTGCAGTTTACAGATGCTTGGCTCTTACGTTTCTTTGTAGCTTGACTGCACTGATATCAGTGAGGTTGAGAGCAAAGAGAATCTCCCGGGCACCAATATACAGCATGTTGTCTTCTTTACTGAGGTGGAGAGCCGTATAGTTGAAGACTCCGTCAACTGAGAAACTTTTGGTTGTCCTCTCCTTCGCATCTGGACAGAAAGAGACACAGACATAAGGTGTATTTCATGAATGAATCCTACCATGCTGAATATGAAGAGGATACCATACAGTACATTATGACTGTTAAAAGCCATTATAAGCTTTTGAAGACAGAAAATACAAAAAGGCACTTTGTTATGCAAATTGAAGCAGTTTGAAGATGTTTTATATGTGGTCACAAAATCTGATGTTCACCACAGATATACTGCAGATATTCTGTCTTAATCAGACACACTAGCACTCCTGACAAGCCTCACAGAGTTGTCTTGTTTCTCACGACATCTACACAGCCTTGAAACATTTGTGTGTTTTAATGTTAATGAAAAATCTAAAAAACAATTCACAATTTGTCTTAAATTACACATCATCTACCTGTGCAGAATTTTTTTTAGCATTTTCTTATGGCATTTCTGCCTTTTTTAGACAGTACACAGTAGAGAGCTGACAGGGAATGAGGAGAGCGAGGTGGATGACGTGCAACGAAGGTCCTAGTCATACTGAAATGTTGCAACTACACGGTCAGCATCTTAGACCTCTAAGTCACCTGGATGCTCCAGAAACATATTTTCCTCAGGATATGAACAACTAAGATACTTTTAGCCTGTTTTAATACTCACACTGTTATTGACCTTTGACTTTGTAGAATACAACTACTACTGGACATCTACAGAATAACTAACCCTAACCCTACAATATTCAATACACGCGACAAAAAACCCCAGAAGAAATCAGTATGTCTGTGCTTCTTTCTGTGTGTGTGTGCACCTTCTAAATCAGCTCCTCATCAGAGAAAGAGATAAAGAAGGAAAGAACAGGAGGAGAAAAGTCTTCATGTAAGTGAATGATTCACTCCAACCACATTAACACCTCCTGACTGAAGCAAAGGGTTAAATCATCAACTCTCCTAATCACTGCTTTAAAGGCCCATGTGTATCTCAGATTTGCAGCAGCCTGGAGGCTTTTACTGCTGGCGCAGCTTGAACAACTTGCCTTAATTGCATGCCAGCATAAACAGAAGCAGGGAGCTGATGGAAACTTGACGTGACTGTAGTTCTGATAGAGGACCTTTGCCCCTGTAATGTGGGCGAATAAGGAAGAAATAACAGACCAAAGAACTTAATTTATTTTATTAAGGGAGGTCCTCTAATATTGTTTTTCTCAATAATGTCGCTCTCAATGATTCATAGATAAATGACTGCTCCAAGGGGCTGTACAAAAATGACATGGGGGGGTTTAAACATTATGTTTTAAGTAAGGCCCTACACAGAGTTAAAAATATATTTTCTTTACCCTCCTCTTAACTGCTACATCTTCCTCCCAAAAACTAAAAAACTAAAATAAAATACATGAATTAGTTCAACTAATGAATGACCAAAAGAGGGAAAGCACAGAATTTAAGATGGTGTACCCCAATTTAAACCATAATATCTTAAAGGAGCATTCATTTGCACATAAATGGACATTAAACATTGAATTAGCAAGTGCCAAATGTATGGCAAACATCACAAAATACAACATATTCTAATTCTATTCTTAAATTTCTATATTCTATATTTTATTTTCTAATAAAGATTTGTTATTATTGCCACCAAAATGAGTTAGACTCGGCCCAAAGTGTCATGCATTATATTATGTGGGACTTATATGACACATTTAAACATTTTTTGGAAATATAATTTTGGGGTGAAATAACAGAAGAACCAACAAAAAAATAAAAACATAATGCATTATTATATTAAGCCAAAGTCAGTTTTACTCTTGTCAGTTTGCCTCATGAGGTCTGCACTGTATTTTCACTTTCCAGACAGGCAGATTCATATAGGATTAAAACCACAGATGCTGGTGGTAATAATTACAATTATGGCACTTCCTGGCATAAAACTAATCCAATCCAGATAAAGTAAGGTGTCATTAAGTTGTACTGATAATAAGCACACTATGTGGTACGTACCCTGTAGTGTGTGTGACCTAGTATAACCTCACCTCAGTGGGTAGGTACAGGAGAGTTGAGAGACTTCCTCTCCCTCGGGAAAACAACATGTTAATAGCAGCCCATCACCACAGCAACAGACAGCCATATTGTAGTTAAATCTGTCCGTAAAACCACAAGAGGCTCTACTCTACGTACTGTACATGAACCCATTGGGGCCGTTCTCTCTCCCTTTCACTATCATTACAGGATAAATGGAGTGCTGCTCCATGCCGGTACGGTTCCCCCCTTTTTTGCCTTGGGCAACTTTAACTGTGATTTACAAGGAGAGAGAGACACAAAGGCCAAAGCCTGAACCAAAACAAAAGCTTTGAGGGATTTTCACAGAGGAGTATAGCTACACAATTATTCTCTGGAGTCAGATCACCACTGTCATACTTAACGACCACAGCTGACGAAGAAAAAACAATACGGCCCCTAATTGAGTAGCATTAAAGAGATCCGGAGGGTTTGCAACCGCACAAAGCTTTCCATTTACAATGTCAGGAAAACATTAATCATCTTTCAGTTTAGACCTATTGGTTTACAATCCTTTATTCCTCTAAGGGGTAGGTAGCCTAATTGTTAAATGGTATACTTTAACATCATGTTTTACATGTTCTATATTAATGAAAGGTATGCTTAAAGAATCGTCTTAAAATGACAAATTGCCTCAAGATTCTTAAATTTGCTCGAATCAGTATTTAATATAATAAAATTACTACGTATACGTATACACTCTTTAGTGTCTTTCAGCTCATTGTTTTGACAAGCAGCCTACAACTTCAGCAAAAAAGATCAAAAGCCAGATATTTCCCATTCTCATGTTGGAGACACCACGGTTCATTAAAAGTTTCCAACAGGCCAACTGACTCCATCAACTTAAACAATATATACTTTTATTAGTAACTTTACTGTGTTTTGTGGTCTTAATGACATTAATACAGCTTTGTATAATGACTTGGAACATACTAATAGGAGATGTAAAGAAATAACAAAAAGTAAAGGTGAAAAAAAGCCTCCTTCATGTTATCGGAGAACCAGGTTTACAGTTGTAACCTTTAGTTTTGATGTGTTTCTAGCCTTACAACTACATTAATTCATCCTGATTTTCTATAAAAAATATTATAATAATTGATAAAGGTTTTTCAGTTAACAGTGTTAAAATAATTATTTGTTGTGGCAGTTATACACAACAACAGTCCTGAAACCACAAAACCCAGACAGAATAGAGCTAGAGGTCAAACACTGTGCAGACTGTTAATGCTAAAACAACATCACAAGCTAACGAGTGTACCCTACTTGAACTTGTCCTACCTTCCCCTCCTTATACGCCACAGTCTCTTAAAGAATCCCCTCTATTGTTGTTAGACTGTCTGAGGTTGATTCCTGAGGGGCTATTTCATGACAGTGCAGCCCCAGAAATGTTGTGGTGTACGTCAGTAAGAGGGAAACAGACAGGACAGTTCAGATGAAGCATTTAAGACTGGAAGAGCAGCTTGTAGTATGTGCTGCAGCCACAGAGACAAGGTGTCAGAAAGGGCACCCAAGTGACCATCATGTTACCACTAAAGAGGTACAGTGTATGGGAACATTACACCGTAATTCATTTTGACTTTGTTAGATATCTTGTCTATCTTGCTTTTTGTCTTGTAAGGGACCCTTTTGAGACAGCTTTGCTGTAAAGAATAGATGGTCACTACTTTAAAGTGCTATATTTTATTTTAGAGATTTATTTTTAAGATGTATTTATATTGAAAAGGTAAAGATCAAGATGCCACATAAGCCTTTTCATAGTAACCAAACAGAATGTAAGTTCTGTGAATGTAATTTTGCCCATATTGTCCAGAGTTATTTTCAACACAAGTGGGTTACTTGTGCTGAAAATTAGTAATATTTTAAAGGTCAGTTAATCCAAAGGACGTACAGACAGGTGACAAATGAAAGGAAACCCTTGACTAAATTAGTGGAGAAATATAATGAATGCAGATTTGCATTTATATTTATTCATTTGGCAGATGCTTTTGTCCAAAGTGACGTCCAAATGAAGTACAATTCAAGCCACAGTAGATCAAGGAGAAGCCTTTGAGAAGAAGTAGAAAATAGGACTAAAGGTGTCACTAAATGGTTGTATTTGAATTTGTATGGCATTTACAGTCACTTGCGTACCCCTACAGTATGTAAGATTTTGTTCTAAGATGGCGCTCTCAACCACCATCAACAAAACATGAAATGGGGAAATATCTTTTTAAATATTTTTTTTTCTGCTGAGGTTTTAAGATATCCTCATTTACCCCAATGCAGTTGAGGTGAATGAATTGTATTCTTTGGTGCTCACAGCATTTAAAAATTACAATTGAAAAACTCAACAGAAACCTGGCTTTCCAGGAACAATGGCCCTTTACTTTGGACAATCCACAGAGCTCAGAGTTAACATTTCTCACTGGAACTACTTTCTACAGAAAGTCCCTATGAAAGAAAATACGTATTACTTAATTTTTCAATTCTCTGAATGCCACAAACTCACCTCCATTCTATTTGGAAGGCAATACAACTTTCAGAGGTGGGTATCTAAAAAACTTTTTTCACATAATGTAATTTAAGATATAGGTACACTCTGCTCCACTTTGCTGTCTCTGCTTGACTGATGATGAAAACACAGCTCACATGTCAAGGAGGTAGTTATATGACCCTTTAACTGCAAAATGAAAACACTACCCAAAGAGTAAACCAGCAGGCAGAGCTGGATAACTTTACACTGTATCACCATTACCAGACCTCTGATCCAGAGAGAGCAGCTTTGTCTGGTTTAGAGCACCTCGGTGACCCTTTATAGAAGTGCATGAACAGCACACTCAGTGGTTCAACCGCTGGCAGCTGTAAGCAATACGAGATCATTGCCATTATTATGTAATTAAAAGTAATTTCTGCAAATGACACCGCTAAATGGATTGAAATACTCGCCTCGACTGGATTGCTAATCTATTTAGAGGGGAAATTAATTATATTGGGCTTAAAGGA